CTAAACGAATGGAAAACCGTGGCTTGGTCAGATGAGTCACGATTTCAGTTGGTAAGAGCTGATGTTAGGGTTCGAATGTGGCGCAGACCCCACTCGAACCCTGCCATCAGCTACCACAGAAGCCATGGACCCAAGTTGTCAACAAGGCACTGTTCAAGCTGGTAGTGGTTCCATAATGGTCTGGGCTGTTTTTACATGGCATGGACTCGGTCCTCTGGTGTAACTGAACCGATCATTGACTGGGAATGGATACCTTCAGCTACTTGGAGATCACTTACAGCCATTCATGGACTTCACGTACTCAAACAACGATGGGAGTTTTATGGATGACAATGCGCCATGTCACTGGGCCACAGTTGTTCGCGATTGGTTAAAAGAACATTCTGGACAATTCCAGCGAATGATATGGTCACCTAGATCGCCGACATGAATCCCATCGAACATTTATGGGACATCATCGAGAGGTCAGTTCGTGCCCACAACCCTGCTTTCAACACTTTCACAAATACGGACGTCTATAGAGGCAACATGGCTCAACATTCCTGCAGGGGACTTCCAACGACCTGTTGAGTCCATGCCACGTCGAGTTGCTGCACTTCGCAGGGCAAAAGGAGGACCGACAAAATATTAGGAGGTATCCCATGACTTTTGTCACTTCAGTGTATGTATGTGTGTGTGTGTAAGATAAAAGATATGTAAATCAGCTTTTTGATTCAATTTAACAATAGGATTTTAATTCCTCATTTTTAATTTTAGTATTTCCTCTCTGTATTCTAAAAGTTGTAATAACTTCCCTGCACTGCGTCATTTGTATATCAATCTATGACACATGGCTTGCGTTACGCTGATGACGTAGCTAACTGAGAACTCAAACTTTTCTCACCTAAAGTAAAACCTTTCTGTTGGCGATATTCCATATTGGATTAATGCGCACTTAGCTTCTACCTTTATTGCCACAATTACTATTTCGCTGTGCTCTCTTCCTATCCTAACAGAATAAAAAATGTAAATTTTCTTGAATGGACACGACTAGAGTGCCAAGTAAACTGTTGCCACAAATGTCAATTGCAAATAAAAATCGAATTAAAACTGCCTCGCTGCCAATTTTTTAGATATTACGAAGTCAACATATTAGCATACTACGCAATCAGAATTCTTTCGCTTCAATATTGATCTAAAATATCTAGGTATTACGCATTTCCTTCCTATTATTACATATCTATATACACACATGTGTGTGAGTGTAGGTATGTAAAATACAAAATATGAAGGATAGCATTTTGACAATAGTCTTTTAAATTTCTGAATTAAAATACAAATACAATCCCTTCAAGGCATCTGATCTGTCATTCAGTATTTTGCTGCACAATCGCTAGCCAGAATTCAAACAAAAATTTTCCGAGCTTATAAATACCACTGCAATTTTTACGCATCCCCTTTGCTGTTTTATTACGGCGCTAGGAGAGCGACATCTCTCGCTTTGCTGCATTTGTCTACTGTTTAAAATATAAGCTGAGTAAACAAAAAAATGTGGACGCTTATAACACCCCCAATGTTACTTCAAACTAGGATATGTCATTAGGAATTACTAAATTATTTGTTGAACTCACAACGTTTGTCCGCAACTCTATCGTTAAATGTACGCAGCATATTCAAACTATTTGCTATTTGCATCACTACCGCGACTGCTGTGCAACTGGTTTCATCTTCTCTAAAACTAAATCGTATGTATGTATTTATCCCTGAATAGTAGAAATGAAATACAGTACGGTGAAAGCTAGATGAAGGAAATGAATGCTTAGAGCAAAATATTTCAAAAGCTACATCAAAGCATAAAAAAGAACAGGAAAAAAAACGTGGTTTTCCTCATTACGTCTTTTTCAGGGGTTTGATGATATGAAATGAAGGTATGAAGAAGGTAACACCACGTTTTCTGACTTTTACTCTTTCGAAACTCTATTTTATGCTCTGGTATAAATTTTATCCTCTGCAGTGATTATTTTAATGTCAATTTTTTTCTAATTCTTATTATTTTTAATTTAATGTAATCCAAGTATTTATTTGGATTTTGATCTATTTTCACTTTATGTTATTTTATTTGTTGTTCAAGAGAAATAACGTTTAGAGATTGAATTTTACAAGGTTTCTTTATTACTAGATCTTGGACCAGGCTATAGGTATGATTATCTAAACATTAATCTGAGGTATTTGTGCTACAAAAACTATTTAAAAAATAACAAATTTTAAAGAAGAAGGATAAAATGAGTGGTAAATATCTGAGAAATGTCCTCGTTAGCAACATGATTAAATTTACTAGAATGCAAAAATATTAGCCGAGCAACATTTCTGTAGTATTCATGACATTGTAAATATTTTACATGAACTTCGTTCATTTACTATGTTTGAGTACAATAAAATAATTTGATGATAGGGGGATACAGTACTCATTATATGCAGACAAAAAAAAAAAAAAAAAAAAAAAATCTGAAAGGTTTCAGATTTTAAATTACGTTCAAAGGGTCTTTTCTTAACGTTTTTTGTGTTACCTTTATTTATTAAATATCATGTTCTTCGCACTTAAACCATAAAATCATTTCAATAGCAATGTCGCAAAATAATTTTACAAAGAGCATATCTTTAGAATTTCCGGTACATATTTTCGCGGCGCTGGAAATAAAGGTTTTTCTTCCCCCCGTAGATTGTTGTCATTGCTCGCTTTCAAACCGTTGAATTTGTTGCTCAAAAATTCTTTAAAGTTTTACAAAATATGAAATCGATAATAAACCAAATTCCAAATTTAGGCTTCCGCATGCCCATATTCGCAGCAGGATTACGACATTCAAAATTCGATGACTCTATGTACCGTTGTTTAATCAAAATGCGAGAAATATACATGCATTTATGGAGATTTTTCATTTTTATTGCTCTAAATATAATGCAGGTTTCTAACAGTTGGTGGCAACAGTTTGAAAAGTGGAATGGACATTTATAGTGATTCAACGCAAAATCGCAAAATGAAAACAATAGTCCTTCAGGGAAAAAGCCCCTTTGGACTAATAATTTTTCCTTCCTACATATGTAAAACCTGACGATTCGTTCTCACGTAACCATGAAAACATCAAGAAAGTACCTTAAAGAGGTATTTTTTTCATTAAACAAATCTGCCACTTCGTTCCTAGCCGAAATTTCTCAGTCGTAGAGTGAACCTCTATCAACTTCCCCAGAAGGGTTCGAACCCAGACGAAATTCCTGGCGGCAAAGGCGTTTTCACGGTTTTCCATGCGGAACACGCATACTAACCAGTTTCCCTTAGAAGGCATCCTTCCCTTAGGCAATTAGGCCTCGCGTACGTAATCAAAGAAGCCAAACCATCCTAATTTCTGACATCTTCTATAGTTGTAGGGGAGCATAGATGCCGTGCTTTCCTGTCCTTTGCCAGATTTATTTTACACGTTGCCTAAAATAAAAGTGAAACGAACATTCCATTTAAAATGTTAATAATTTGAGACAGTATTTACCCTCGATTCGTATATGGGCGATATACGCCGGAGTTATGAGAAATGTTCCTTTCTTTTTTCATGTGAGGTACTTCTATACTGCCTGAATGTTTCTCCAGAATTTTAGGATATTTATTTTTTCTAGCAGCAAGACATATAGTTAGTGTTTTGGTTAAGTAGGATGAATTCTTTTACTCTGTAATCATTTTGCTGAGACAGAAATGCATAACGTTGTTCTGCTTTTTTATCTAATGTCAAGACTTAGTGCATTTCCTTTAAATGCTACTTTATACTTTTTCTCCAAGCGAACAGCTATCTAGTGGAAGAAAACCAACATATGGATGGAAAGTTTGTTTAGGATTTGGCTCACGATGACTGAAAAGGTTAGTTTCATAAAGTGTTTTTTCCCCTTCTCCTTGTATAATACACAAGATGTAAGAAGAATGACTGAATATAATTAAATGTAGTTAACAATGAAGAACTTCCGTACAAATCATCAACACGAGCCCGATTAAAAAGACAATTAAATGGATTTTTATTTAACTAAAACACATGAAGGAGTTAAAAACTATTAGTAGAAACTTAAAGATTATTACGAAATTAATATTAGTTAAATGCTACGAACTTTGACGAGCAGCAATATACTTTCTTTCTTTTCACCATCGATGGAACAGCTGGCCCACTGGGATAGGTGCTTTTCAGCCTGTTGGATCCCGTCGATGGAATTTTAAAAATACGTGAATAAATATAAATAAAGAGCTTAGTACTGTGTCCTCCGGGGATTAGCCACGAAACGAGGAACATTGAAGTGAGGACCAGAACATGGAAAAAAGGTGCATGGTGGGGACTGCTGAGACTAAGCGGAACACATTTCACTGTTATCGTACATGTTAGGCATACAGCTATATGAAGGATGTACTATAAAAATCAGGTACAGATGTAAAGATGACCAAATACATTACAAATTGTGGAATACATTAAATGAGTTCTGGATTAGTCATAATATTAAATATAATTAAAAACAGCAAAACAAACAAAAAAACACAAGACATTAAGTAAATTAATATATGTACAGAGCAGGCTGCTGACGGCATGGTGTCCAAGGAAAGAAGTCACTCCAGATTGTCAGCAATGCTTTTAGCAATGGTAGTGCAGTCTCTAATGCGGCTGAGCGCATATTTATTCTTAATTGTGTTCTTGAACCATGCTGGCATATTGATTGCAGTTGGCCTTTTCAAATGTGAATTTTCCGTGCGATCAGTCAAACAGATAGTGATCTGGGTCACCAGTACTGCCACAAATACATTGGTCACTCTCTCTTAGGCGAAATCTGTGAAGATAGAACATATATGGACCATGCCCTGTCAAATACTGTGTGAAGTGCGAAGAACTGCTATTTAAATTGTGGTTAACTTTTGGTTGGAAATCATAAAGTCTTCTGCCTGTGGTGCTTGTCTCCCAGTAGTTTTGCCACTGCTTCATTAGTTCACATTTGAGAGTAGTTTACAGATACGAGTGCGGAAGGGGCACACCAATGCTACTCACGTGGGGTTCATTGGCTGCGCCCTTCGCAATCATATCCGCTGCTTCATTTCCTTTAATCCCCGTATGGGCTGGAACCCATTGTAGCTGGGGCCTCAGACTTGCAGTAATGGAAATTAATAGTTTTTGTATGTCTCTGACAATGGGATGTCTACTGCGGTCGCCTTGTATGGCCTGCAAGTTTAACATTGAGTCTGTGTAAATTACTTTATACCTGCTATTGTTAGCAGTAAAGTCCAGAGCTGCCTTTAGGGCTGTAAGTTCTGCTTGAAACACCGAGTTACTGGGATGAAGCTTCTTAGCCCAGGAATGGATTATGTGGTCATCCTCCATTGCACACCAGGCACTGCCAGTCCCGAGTTCTCCTTTGAAACCATCAGTATATACGGCTAAGGATTGTAATGCACTTGGAGGATTACAGTTTGCTTCTATATCGAAGTCTGCAGGGTGGCAAGGAGAGTGGGAAATATGATTCTCGTAGTCCGAGGATACATAGGTCTTACTCCAAATAGTAACGTCTTGTTTTAATCTGATCACCCTCACCACAACACTCTCGCTCTGTACTATCAAGTGCAGCGGCGGAAGCCTAGCCAGTACATTTAATGCAGTTGTAGGAGAGGTACGGAATCCTCTGCAGATGCCCAGAAGAAATGGTCTTTGCGCGGAGTTCAATGCATGTTGCATGTTAATCGTGACATTGACGCCCCATATAGAAACGCCATGAAGAGCTATGCGCTCAGCGACTGTGGCATACCATATTTTGAGCATCTGTGAGGAGACACCCCAGTTAGCAGCAGCTGTTCTCCGCATTGTATTAGACAATTTATGTAGCCTTTCTTTAAGATCCTTGATGTGAGGGAGCCAGGAGAATCTGTCGTCTATAATCACACCCAAGTAGCGGAAATGTCTCACAAATTGTATGTTTCTGCCATGAAGTTTTACGCACGGGGTACGCTCGTGCTTTAGCAGCAATATACTGGCACATGGAAAGTGAGAATGTTTTTATTTCCGGAGCAGGCAACACATTGCTCTTAAATAGCCGGATTTGTTGATTAAATTCAAAGCATAATACCTTACACTTTGCCGAATGGTAGCACACTGGCGCATGGAGAATGAAAATGCTTTTATCTGGAGTACTAGTAAAGCATAGCTTTTAAATCATTGAGGTTGCTAATAAAAAATTGATTAAATAGGCATAAGATTTGAGTGGGAGATATTGCATATTCAAAATCTGGTGACTCTAGATGACGACGTTTTTCTTTAGTGCAAAGAACAAACTTACAAATACAAACAGATTCTTTGTTATTTGATAGTAGTGATAACGGTATTATGAAAAATTATTTTACATTTTTTTCAGAACATCATTAATCAGAGTGTGAAAATTTATGTTTACTTATCACTATTTGATTTCTAAGCAATTACTTTTAAAACAGATCGAATTATATCACATTTTATGAATCTCAGAAATATATAACGTACAAAAATAAGTAATAATAATCATTGTGCTGCTGGTGGAAAATGCAGTCTATCACTTTATTCTATAGGGGTTAAGTTCCTTGTATTTATTACGAAACGTCACTGAGAAAAATCTGCTTTAGGAAGAATGACATCGTGCTGGATGTTCTTCGGCATTTATATCATATATAAGGAGAAGGGGAAAAACACTTTATGAAACTAACCTTTTCAGTCATCGTGAGCCAAATCCTAAACAAACTTCCCATCCATATGTTGGTTTTCTTCCACTAGATAGCTGTTTCGCTTGGAGGAAAAGTATAAAGTAGCATTTAAAGGAAATGCACTAAGTCTTGACATTAGATAAAAAAGCAGAACAACGTTATGCATTTCTGTCTCAGCAAAATGATTACAGAGTAAAAGAATTCATCCTATTTAACCGAAACACTAACCATATGTCTTGCTGCTAGAAAAAATAAATATCCTAAGATTCTAGCCAAAAATGCAGACAGTACAGAAGTACCTCACATGAATAAAGAAAGGAACATTCCTCATAACTCCGGCGTATATCGCCCATATACGAATGGAGGGTAAATACTGTCTCAAATTATTAACATTTTAAATGGAATGCTCGTTTCACTTTTATTTTAGGCAACGTGTAAAATAAATCTGGCAAAGGACAGGAAAGCACGGCATCTATGCTCCCTACAACTATAGAAGATGTCAGAAATTAGGATGGTTTGGCTTCTTTGATTACGTACGCGAGGCCTAATTGCCTAAGGGAAGGATGCCTTCTAAGGGAAACTGGTTAGTATGCGTGTTGCGCATGGAAAACCGCGAAAACTCCTTTACCGCCAGGAATTTCGTCTGGGTTCGAACCCTTCTGGGGAAGTTGATAGAGGTTCACTCTACGACTGAGGAATTTCGGCTAGGAACGAAGTGGCAGATTTTTTTAATGACAGTGACAATGCTATGCATAATTACAGGATCATGTTGAATGAAGCGGAGAATATAACTCTTTTAGATAACTTTTGAAACTTGTATTACTTTAATAATTAAAAGGTTCTGCTCGAGAAGATCAAAGACACATGATTCTTCCACCTCAAATAAAAGCATGGAAAGCCGCAAGTTAATCTGAACCGAAAGATGTTGATTCTATACTTATTTATGTTTTAAGTTTTTATAACTTATCAAATGAATGAATAATTTTAGCATTTTCATGACTACTAGGAATTTTAATATTCTCGTAAAAGCATTTACAATAAATATATCGACATTTTCAGTCGGAGTTTTGAAACAGTTAACAATAAACAAATAATAACTTTTGATAAGCAAGGTTGTAGAGACATTAGGATTTTTTGGAAGCAGGAGAGATGAAAAATGAGCAACGCCTTCGCCGGGAATCGAACCGCGGAGCTCCGGAATACGTACCCAGCGGCAGATCACCACACTACGAAGGCATGCTAAGAAGGCGGGAGAAGTACCTTATAAAGTAAAGCACGATGAACATGTTCTTGAATGGATTGCAATCGCTGGACGAGGCATCGCTGTACTTTTGCAATGAATTATCACACTCTCGGATGCATTATTTGATGTGAAAAATGGTTAAGGCTCTCAGAGTACTCGTGGTTAGAATCCTGTCGGTGAGAGTATAGCTGACTTTTCATATTTTCTAGCTTTGAAAACTCCAGTGATGCCTGAATTAAAATGTGGAAATCAATAATAACACTCCATCTTGCCTTGATCGAAAACCCTTGATTTCAATCCTGACTAGAGCACGTTTGATTTTTCCTATGTTATGATTCCGAAAATCCTAATACTGTCTGCGTACGATAAAACATATTAGACAGGTTAACGAGTTTTACAAGTAATATGAATACCGCATATATAGCATTAACTATTATACAAAAATCTGCAATAAAATATAGCACGCTTCAAATAAGGACTGCGATATGAGGATATAACACGTTTACAGCGAAACGATAAACACCCTACGACTTTTAATCTTTTCTCTGATTAAAATAACTTGGTACGCTCCCATTCATGACGCTATTCATTAATCAGCCTTTATTAACGTTAATATCTCAAATTACTTTCCGTAATTCAGCGCCTTTCGAAGTTCACTGAAACGCAAGAATCCATTATTAATCCCCGCAGAGTAATTACAACGTTCTCTAAAAATGAAGTGTGTCAGAAACAGCGCTTCTCCTTTTATTCCTTTTAGAATTTTCTTTCAGAATTCCTGTTGTATTTCCTCGATTATATTTCGTTCTTAACAAAGCATTCTCTTATGTTTTATATTTTCCTTTTTAAACATATATATATATTTTTATAATTTTCACATTGTAGGATGTATTTCTAAAGGAACTACTTTATATTTTATTACATCTTTTATGATAATAAGGTTCTTCAGTTCTTATGTAAATAAAAAATATCTTTCGTATAATTATATTAAAAACCAAGAGACATTATGCTTCGCAAGGAAATGGTTGTTATTGTATTTCACTGATTCATTGTTGCAATTTTTCTAATCATTTCTTAATGTACATAATATTCAGGTTAAAGATACTATTTTTAATGTATAAAGTTTACAGATTAAAATATTTAATACTCTTTAGTATAAATTAGATGACTAAGAAACTAAAATGAGGTAAAATTCAAAATTTAAAATATCGGCACACAGTTATGAAGTCATCAGAATATTTTCAAGTTTTGTTCCAGCAAACAAAACTCTAAGTCTTTAAGTCTCTGAATATTATTTGGAAGAAACTTCGGAAGCATCCTAAAAAAAGTAATTATTATTGAAGAAACGGTATTGATCCTTAATAACCAAAAGCAAAATTGAAGAAAATACTGCATTCAATGTTTTTTTTTTTTTTTTTTTTTTTTCATATTCATACGACTACAAGAATTCACGGAAGCTTTTAGGCGATATTACCTTGATGATGCAAATTATTTTAGGAATAACATTTCTAATTATAAATTTTATTATTTTTTATTTATGGCCTTATTCTTAAACACATCTCATTGAATGCGACAAACAATTTGTCTTTGCAACTGAGTAGATTGTTTAACGATGAAAAGAGATACTTCAGAAACTGAGGGACTCATTATCCTTAAAATCGCATTTTCTGCGTACTGAATCTTATGTTAAATACTAACTTTTTATTTTCAGATAGCACAATTTATTATCTTAATACACACATATATATATAAATATATATATATATATACAGGGTGTTTATAAAGTCCCGGACCCATTTTGATGTTTAATAACTCATAAATTAATGAAGACATAAATAAACTTATGGCATTTATTGATGGAATAACTTATAAATTTTCCTTTTCAGGTTTGAATATCTTTACTTTTGTAAATATCGTCTGCGTGCGTGGTTAATTTCAGATAATTTCATTTTCCAGTCTAAATATCTGTACTTTTCTAAATATCGTCTGCTTATTAATTGCAATTTTCTCTCTTTTGTTTTTGGCAACTATTGCAATGTTATGTTTACTGTCGATGTATTTGTTCTAGTACTTTTGTATGGGATGTTTTATTCGACCGAATATTAAGGAAAATGCATACACCACAAGAGAAAGCACAGATTTTATGGTGGTTCATAGAAACGAAATCCATAATGCAAGCACAGAGAAATTGCAGAAGAATTTACCAAAAGGACCCTCCATCCAAAGCAGCATCTTGCGGTGGAAAACGAATTTTCTAGAAACTGGAAGTATCGCAGATAAGAAACGTTCCGGACGTCCCTGCACAAGTGATTTTGATGTTGAGCGTGTCAGAGAGACATTTTTACACAATCCTAGAATATCTGTGAGATCAGCAGCAAGAGAATTGGATATGCCAATTTCGACGGTGTACAAGGTTATTAAGAAAAAATTAAGATTGCATGCATACAAAGTTCAAGTTTTGGAACCGGACGATAAGCCTAGGTGGATGGCCTTTGCAGCAGATATGCTAAGGAGGATAGAAGATGATGCTGAATTTCTGAAGCGCATTATGTTCATCGACGAAGCATCCTTTCATCTTTCTGGCATTGTTAATCTTGCATAATGTGCGCAAATAGGGATCTGAAAACCCCCATGAAAACCGTGAGTCACAAAGGGACAAAGGGATTCTCCAAAGGTTAATGTGTGTGTGCACTAATGCACGACCGAATCATTGGAGCTTTCTTTTTTACAGAAAAGACGATCTCATCAGTCGTATACTTAGACATGTTGGAAAACTTCGTATTTCCACAGCTAGAAGAGCTTTAGCCACATGTCTTTTTGCAACAAGATGGTGCACCACCTCATTGGGGTACCATCGTTCGTAGTTCTTTGAATGACCATTTTACAGGAAGAAG